ATATGGATTTTGGCGGCGTCGCGACGCTGGGCTCTTGCTTCTTAGTTTGGTGTCAAATGTTACCCCGAGGCTCATTTTCGGTGTGCGACGCTTTGCCGTCCTCATGTCTTATGTCATCCAGAGGATATTATTGGCCAGATTTGGTATTTTAAGCCGTCCCCCGCTCTACGTCGGTTTTCCGAGGCCGTGTCGGACAGAATTCCATGCTTATCTTACGCTAAGTGTGGTGTTCACTGTTTCGAGATTCGAATTTACGACTGTTTTCGTGTTTGTGACCTTAGTCGCTACTCTCAGGGACCCACGTCAGTGGGTATGGGGACTGGCACCCTCGAGGTACTCGAGCTACCCAGTGCCTGGGGGGTATAGCTGGGCCACCCTACCTCCGGGGGCTGGTCCTTTAGGTTGGGGGGGTTTGTCGTAAAAAGAAACTTCCGGACGGACTGCAAACAGATTGTCTGAGGAAGAATTGAAGAAGCTCTTGAAGAAGGCCGAGGCCCACGCGGGGCTGTAGAGCCAATGATGATGACGATGATGATGATGATGGGAAGGTATTGGTTGATACAGAAACATCGCAAAGTGCTGTCTTTATGGCTACAACTGAGATTACTGAAGCAAGGCTGCTTCTGCACCTAAACACCTCACATGCGGTTCATTGACCTTGAAATGGTCCATCCAGCTGTGTTCATCAGGAATAATGCAGACTGTAACTGACGCCTGCATGAATAATATAAGAAAGTACCATGGACCCCACCTCCGTCTGATTCTTGATTGTGTTGGCGAGTGAAGTTTGCATTTTTGTTTCTCTGTTTCGTACAATGACAGGGATGAACAAACTTGTTGCTAGGGGAACTCGTTTTGACACTTGGAATGTCTGTGACCTCTCGAGGCTCTCTATTTGACACTGAAGGTGACGACAAAACAAGTTGAAATTGAAATGTTGATACTTTCTCATCGGCTAGACCATATTCTAGTTCAGCTGAATCCAGTCTACACCTTAAGAGCCCATTTATTTAAAATCCATTTTAATATTATACTTTATCTGTGCTCTGATATTCCATGTTGTATCTTCCCATGACATTTTTCCCCCCCAACATTTAGCACATACATTTAATCTCTTCCATGCATTCTACATGTCCTGCTCACTTCATACTTTTTGATTTAATGTCCCTAAGGCAAATGTTTTGTCAGATTCTGTAACACGCGTACCAAATACAATGAAGTCCTAATGCACGTGTCTCAAAAAACTTGTTGACGGATTCGTAATACAATTTATTTAAGACGTCACTTGATGGCGTGATTAATGAATAATGAGTTGGAAAGTGTACGAACCAGGGTTGATGCTGGTAATTTTTTTATACGGATATATTATCTGAATTTTGTTAATTTACGAATAGGAATTGTCGTAAGATCGCACCATTTCTCAAGAGATCATGAAGAGAGAGAAAAAAAGGATTTCAAAACCCCGGTGAAGTGTCCTGATTTCGAGTCTCGGTAAGGGATGTTTCTGTAACTCGGAAATTAAGCGGGATAGAAGAATGTCGAAAAGAATCAAAGTTTTTCGTTTCGAAGAGGAGATTACAGCAACAAGGGCCACAGTCCCGAAATGCTATCCAGAGTTCTAGTCTCGGAGATAATGTTTGGTTAAGGCGTTAGCAATCGTGATGATTTTCGAGGTGATAGTCGGTGATACTTGTCTGATGTCCACGACTATGATAAGCTTACGGACAGTAGAGTGGAGGCGAACGTCTCGTATTTAATTATGATTATTCAAATGAGGCTAAAGATTGACTCTGCAAGTCTATCGGCGCCATTTTTTCCAACAGCACGTGCTCACTTCGCGTCTCTGTGTCACATTTTGTTAATTCTCGCATTTTTTTTAGACATAATGCTATTGCACACTTAATAGACTACAGTATAGTTTAAACATAACTTTTATGTGCTCTGGGAAACCGAAAAATTCGTGTGACTCGCTTTATTGCGGTGGTCTGGAACCGAACCCGCAATATATCCGAGGTATGACTGTAATTATTTTTTTTTAAATATTTCCCTCGAAATAAAAACACTATAAGGAATCGATGAGTCCTTTCTGCTCACTTACTACGTATGGTCAGAGGTCAGATGTGAGCACAATGCAGATAAAATAGAATTAAAAGGAAAATGAGGGGAAAAACAAAAGAATACGGTAGGAAGAGAAGAGAGGGGAGAATGAAGAAAGGAATGGAGGAAAGAAGAATAGAAAATGAAAGGAAACGCTTCCTTATCTGGTGAAGCACGAACCTGTTCTCGACGTTAAGTGACTTGGACCTACAACCTCGTACTTGACTGCGGGAGGTTCGCCTTTCAGAGTGGGTAAGGTGGTAGACCTGTGGCGCCTGTCTCTAGAGAGAGGTCGCTACTGAACCTTTAACAAGCACACAAAACGCTGTTTTGTCTGTGTCCACATTTCGCGTCAGGTTACTGTAGATTACTACCACAACATGCCTGTCCGACCTCTTGTAATTAAAATTTTACGTAGAGATGGCTGTCTTCTGGAATGTTGGGCCGTGTAGTCTGGTGGAAGGTTGTCGACTTTACAGAGGTCCTTGCTACCTCCATCATCAGATCGATGGTTTCGGAATCAGCAAGCACCTCTGAAACGTCGACAAATTTGTGTCAGACCCCAGAAGACGGCGATCTTCATGAGAACCTCAGACATTACAACATTTTACGTGCCTACTTACAATTCGTTATTTTATATTTCTTCCAGAGCATGAAAATTTCGAGGGTCACAGTGGCGTTATTTTGAATTTTCCAAAAACATTACGTGATAAAAATTGATTCTTGCACCATTATTATACGATAACACCACAGTTACCACTTTTGCAATGCCACAGATCATGAAAGATTGAAAAGTACAAAATTTGGGGTGGCATATGATGTTTTTAATTGCTCAACTAATTCGTAAATTATTTGTCGGCAAAATCACTCGCTGACGTCATGATGTTAAAAATCGATGTTCTATCTTAAAAATTTAAAAGTGTGTGAATTTGGCTAGAATTTAAATAAACTGCGAAAGGTAGAGGCTCTGTAGTTCCTGAGAGTAGACATCAAATATAAAATAAAATATTTTTTACTCTAACGTGTGTCATGCTCTTTAATAAATCATTTGTTGTTTAATTAATGGGTTCAGAGAGGTCTCAGCTATGGGTTATGTAAAACTGCCATCCCATTAAACAACAAATTAATTAATTACAAAAATTTAAAAATTATTGTTACGTCAAACGTATCGTAGTGAGATTTCTTCTGCAGTGGAAATATCATTTTCCGATCGTCACGGACTACTTATAATAGTATTTACCACGTGAATGTAACCTTCTCACATGGTGGATTTCAGCGTTCTGTGTTCAGGAATCTTACGAACATTTGACATGCAATGCTGAATCCACTCATGCAGTACAGTAAGAACTTTATTTGCAGAAGTAAATTGCAATTTAGCTCTGGCTTTCTTTCGTATTTCACAGCGACGGAACTGAATTAAGGGCGCTAGATCCAAAGCAAAGTTGAGGCTGAAATAATAGTAGCCTCTCTCATACATAGAGACTGGTTGCTTACTTTAAATGTATTCATGAACCCCAACTGTGCAGCAGTCTGAATTTAAATGGTTGTTTTATACATCAGATGACAAAAGAAGTGCGTAGAATAGATATAAAATCCCGAAAAAATTATATGGACTTAAATTCCAGAACAACTGTTTATTTATAGGTTTGTGATTCCTTAAATGCTCAATCCATATGAATAGTCGTCTTCCAAACAGCCAGTCACTGGTTTGTATCTTGACACTTAACTTCTTTAAAGTCCATTTTAATATTATCCCGCCATCTGACCTTTATTAATGGTTAAATTAATCTTGTCTTTAGAATAGAGTTACAGAGACAGAACAGTTGTATGCAAATATCAAAACTACAGTGGATTTCAGTTAATTAGGACACATCGGGACTCGAGAAATTTGGCCCAATTAATCGTCTGCCCCAATTATGCGAAGTTCCGCGTAAAGAATTCAAAAGGTTTGTTCTTTAATATTTGTCCCAAAAAAACGGGTTGCCCCGATTAACCGGTGTTATTGTATTTTATCGAGAAATAACTTTGTGTTTGCAGAAATATTTAGATAATAATATTTGCCAAATAGCACCCGTTTGATCAAATCAAAGAGAATGAGATGGTCGGGGCATGTAGCACGCATGTAATCGAAATTCTGATACTGCCCCGTGGGACGTTTGAGGAAACCAATATTTCTAGACAATCTTTGGTCACATTAAAAATATCTCTACGACCGACTGTCCACACAGAGTGTTAAATAATTGTTTATAATCTAAATTGTCGACTGATAAGTGACGTGTCTTGTCAATACTGCCGAGGACAGTAGGCGTATGTATTTACAGAACGCACAAAAACAAACCTTCCTTACACGTATTTTACGTAACCTACATATTTTGACCATACAACTTCCAATTTCCATGATGGTTTTATTGACAGAAACTTGTATTACCTTTGATATGTTTCCATGGTAACGTATAATCCCTGTAGTTGAAAAGCTGAACTACAGCTGAAAAGATTTCTTTGAATAAAATTCTCGTGCTTTAGATGAATACATACAGATGTATCTAAAGGACATAGCCACCTATTCTGTCAAATAGGAGTTAGGTCTGAGAGAGTATTCTAACCTCAGGTTCTCTGGGTGTGGTAATCAGGTCGTAGTACTTACACATCTCCTCGCCGAGCACCCATGTCTCGGGTTTGGTGTTCACCTCCACCAGAACTGTGGGGGTACACACCAGCAGCACCATGAGATCGGCCACGCTCAGATTCATCAGGAAGATGTTGGTCGAATTCCGCATGTCCTTCGTCTTGAGGATCACGATGGGGACCATGATGTTACCGGCCACGCCAATTCCCAGGATCACGAAGCAGAAGATCATGGACGTGATTCTGATGTACGCGGGGATGACAGGAATTTCAGTCCCCGTCGTCTCGTTCCCCACCCCCTCAGTCCCCGAGAAGTTGGGGTACAAATAGGCTGCCGTAATGGTGCTGTTGCCCGCCGCCTCAAGTCCTCCAGCATAGGCAGTTGCTATGGTGACCGTCGTGGCTCGCGTGCTGGCTTCAGATACGAACACGTAACGCCACCCCCGATCACAATTACGTGCGATGATCCATTTTCAGACGCGACAGGTCCTTGGGCTCCCGACTCCTTTCGGACATTTTTGTTCTAATCGAAGTCGCGTGTTCTGTCTGCTGACGAAATGTCTATTTTCGCAAAATACACACTCTGTTTTAAGGTTAGTTCTGACGCCATCTTATAAATTTGTTTTATCAGCTCCGGGCACTATTTATTTCGTAAATATCTATGTTGCAGAACTTTTCAAAAAAAAATCTGATTCAAAATTCGTATAGGAGAAATGGTCACTCACGTCTTCGAGGCTTTACGTTAACACAAGTCGTCAGTTATCTATTACAACATGAAATATATATTTTTTTCTGTCAGAACAAATTCACTTCATCTGGATACTGAAATGCTTATTTGGTTTCGCTACAAAGTTAAGTTTCAAAACTTATATTTTCGTCTTCAATTTTTGGACTCTTTTCCTGCATCGATTTTATGAATTAACAATCTACTTATCTCCAATGTCCATCAGTCTATATGCTTCGAAAAAGTTTCATGAAACTTTTCACAAAACTATTGCTTTTAAACTTTTGTAATCCTTTTAAAGATTTGTTATCAGTCTATAGTTTTTGATAGAGTTATAGAAACGAAGTACCGTTACTTATAATCAGGCAGACAAGGAATTCACTTAGAATATATCGCAAATATTACGGAGTCTTCGAACTCCTCAAGAAGATATTTCTGTGCGTTCCTTTTTCTTTGTGTGATTACAAAAGTACTTGAATGTTCTTCAATCTGTTACAGACGGGAGTAGATAAATTATAACTCTAACTCCTAAAACTCGGAAGTCGTGGACCTGAAACCCATCAAAATACCTCGAGTTGAATTAGGCGTGCTCTATGTGTAGCCAGAACACGCTATAAACCATCGCTATTATAAACGAAAGAAATATTAGCGAGTTAAACAAAATGTTTGTCCCTCACATTATACACAAATCATTAAATCATTAGCATTTTATGAACCAAATTTGAATTTTTGTATTTCATATATATCGCTATTAATGTGCAGAATTTAAATTTGGGCCTTTTTCCATTAATATAATTACTACGTTTCGGAATATAAATATTCTTCCTTCTTCAGGTCCGGGTTTGAAGCTGGCTTAACCAGGGGGGCTTTGGCTTCTACCCTTCTCTTTTTTCATTGACGACGGTACAAGATCTAGCTTCCAAAACGTAGCAATTCTATCGAAACACAGACGATGGTAAAAGCCCGATTTTACGCAGTTTCGTCAGAAATCTTCAGTCTTTGTCTACGTATCACTTTTCTCTGTCGTTGCAACGTTCTGATTACCCTGACGTAGTCTGAGTTTTTGCTCCTTAAACATATTCTCTGTTGACTGTGTAAACGTGACTCATCTGGTAGATTAATATTCTATCGACGAAATTAACGCCTTACCTCGATCTCTCAGCTGCTTAAGTTAAATATTTGTGACGTAAAATAATGAAGAAATATAAGTTACAATGGATACATATGCCTACTAACAAAAAGTTTACTTAAAATAAACCATCATGAGAGAGGTTAAATACGACTCCCTTTGGCGTAAGGTCACAAATAATTGACAGTCGGAGACGGTCACTAGTCTCTTCCTCTACTGGTTTAATTAATTTTTGCTTCGTTAAACTAAAACCCCATCCTAGAGACCTGTTTCTTACTGTTAAGTTTATTCTGATTTTCCTCAGACCATTTGAAACAGATCGCTTCCTATCACACTCCTAATTCATAATTAATAAAGTTTAAGATGGAAGGTTAGTTAAAAAATTTAATAAATTATTGAATTTTCACGGTTAATTTTTGTAAACACCGATCTAGCTACCCAAAATGAAAGATAAATGCGAAGATTTGAAAGTAAAATTAAAGTTATTCTCGTAATAAACAGTAATTATATCAGTTGAATAAAATATAAAATAAAATAAAATTATATCGCGATAAAAGATGACAATACGGTATTTGTATCTCGGAGCTGCATCGGCTTATCGCGACGGGCCCATCACAAACTCGTCAGCAAAAACGAGGGTCTGGAGGAAGGAACCATGCCTGTGGACGTAGAAATTCGTCATAATTAATACCGCCTAATACGACGGTACGTAGTCCTAGCAGTTGATTGAACGTCGTCGTGGATAGCGGGAGATGCTAGTGTCCTGATACTGAAGATCCCAACATATAATTCGATTGTCAGATTCCCCCCACCCAGTTCTCTGATTTAAAATAGAACCGCGTGTGTACACAAGAAATTGTCGTATTTGGCACTTGTAGGAACGAGTACTTAACTTTCCCTGTTCCGTTTCACAATCGTATATTCCCATGCATTTATCACTTCCTTGCAAATGATAAGTTTCTTTTCGCTAAAAACTGGCCTTCGTTCGTAAGTGACGTCATGACTGCCCCGCGCATTGAAAACTTTCGTAATATTGTTACTTCTTTCGTGATAAAAAGTATTTTTAATGCGTTGTGATAAAGAAACTTGTTCTTTACTTGCGAATAAATTGCATAAAACTGACTTTGGCTTCACACAAAACCAGCAGTTACAAACGACACTTAATTTGAATTAATGTTTTCCCCCCCCAACAAAAAAAAAAATTAAACTTATTATTTATGATACGTCTTAAATGTTTCGTAAGATTTTTCGTGTGACGCAAACATAAGAATAATCACCAATATCGTTCTATATCTGTTGCTTATAACCAATTTTGTAAATTTACTATATTATGCTTATTATTAAATCATACTTTACACTTCAAAGGTAGTTCTAACGAGGCAAATCAGTGGTTAACATATGACACGATTTAATACGATGATCTGATTCATACGGCGTTGCTTAAATTATATCATTCGACAACAAACGTGGTCCAGTGTATGATTCCGCATATGAGACGCCGTCATTAATTCACTATAACCTCGCAGCACTTCGTAACACACTTCGCCGAGAACGGATAGACGCCTTACGTAGCTCACGCCTCCCCCGGTCCACGCGACACTGAACAAAGCCGGACGGACGGCAGACCGCGGGCTCACAGCGCTGTGTGGTCCAGTCGAGACGGCGCGCGAACCAAGTCTGAGTTCTCGTACGGCGCTCCGTTCACTGGTACGTGGAGACCATTCGCGCGCGCCCCAGTGTCCACACGGCTCTACCCACGTGTCCTTGGCACCGGTTAATCGCGCTGCGTCGAGCACTAGCTCGCGAAACCGTCCACATTTACGGATGCACTCGTGGCGAACCACGAACTCAAGTACCCTCTACGCACCTTTAACCCCACGTTGAGACGAAAGGATGTACATGGTGTTTCGGGTCGTGACGTCTTGTGAATGACAACGTTTCGGAGGAATATAATGCCTCCATCTTCAGGTATGAAATTGGTGTTAAAACCTAGGAGACCAAGGACATCTTCACTGCCGTCAGAAGCTCGAATGTCGGTACAAATGTGTGTTTTGTCGGCGAATGAAAGTTCGGTGTCACATCAGATGATAATAATAGGCCCTAATGTTTATATTTTACTGAATAAATTGTGTTATGGGACTTGAGGCTCGCAACCCATTGGAGGTGCACATGTTTATTTTCTGAGCTGTAGGTAGACAAAAGTAATCATTGAAGATGAAGGCAGTATGTTCCTTCGAGACGTTTGCATCTACTTTACTGCAGAGAGGAGTCTTACATCGAAGAACTTCGTTTATTTTTTTTTTAAATTATATTTAAAATATAAATAGATATTAGTAATAATGAGAGAATTAAAATATAATAAAGCTTTTTTTTTTAAGATCTTGTGTTTTAATTATGTGTATGAAAAAAAATTATATGAAATTTATACTTTCTGAGATCCGTAATAAGATTTTAAGCATTTTCTTCGTGGCATTACCACACCGTTCACATTTGGAAGACCACGGGCCACGGATAGGTTACCGAAGTGTTCGAAATTTTTCCCCCCTTGGGCACATTTGCCCCATATTAACAAAAGAAGGCGAAAGTAATACGTAATTTCGATTCGTCATAAAACACGGGATTTCTGTCCGTATTGTCGATTTTCAAATACATTTTCTTTTTTGGGTTTTGGAATCGACGATGAACGTCGTAATTTTGAGATTTTATTTATCGAAATTACACCAGATGTTTGAATAACAGACCGGGTTAGTGTTCTCAAGTTGCGTGCTAATGTCCGGCTGGTATTTTAACTTCCGTGTAACAGGAAAACACAGTTCAGTCGAACTTTCACCATCCATTCATCCGTGCACTTAATCCCTTATTTCATTCAGCAACCACGCAGGTGGAATCAGTAAGTAGATACTGTGGTATTTCTGCCCGACTCGAAACAACGCTAAATTGCACAAATAGTTACACTTCGATACAGCCCTGTCACGACACTGGGCTCTCGCATTTGTGAACTAAACTCTCCTGTGACCTAACTGTGCCCCCCCCCCCTCCGCCGAACTACAACTTTCACCGTACATCAGCTGTTACTTATATGTCTCGTGTTTTAGCTCTCATCTGTTTCATTACCACCTGAAACATTTGAAACAGTGCTGCCAATTCAGTCTTCGTGCGCGACACAATTGTACCCTCTGACTAGTTCTGAGATAATAATTTCGAAACATTCCTTAGATTGGTGATCGGCCCGTATCAAGGCTTGTTAATACACACGGTATTATAAAAACAGGTATAAAAGTGTAGATGTACATTTTGAGACCACAATATGACGAGTCTTAAGAAAAGGTTTTCTTTTGGGGGTTTGTAATCGAGAGTACAGGCTTTAAAACGCGTGGTATTGTCATACCTTATACTCAAGTAATTTAAAAATAAAATCCTGATAAATTTTTGGATTGAAAATACATTAATTAGGTCAGGAATGGGGTTAGAGTTTGTGAGGAACTTCGGTTTGAAAACCAATTGGAATTTATCACTCGGTCAAAGCTATAAGGACTGTTCTATATTGTACCGATGATTTTTTAATGACGACATCTCATCTTCACAGGTTGGCTTGTAATTGTTTGAGAAGCGAATGTGAT